CGGAGCCATGGTTCGCCGTCATCGGCTTTGTCCTGAGCTAAATATCGATCACTGTCCCGCGTATGTGCGGTTATTATCGCGCGTGTCTCTCGTTACGCGATTTCCAGCCGACTCTTGGCTCCGACTTTCCGCCCTGGAGAAAAGATATCCTGCCGCGGAGTCAACGATCGTTACGGAAGATCGTAAACTGTCGCCGTTCATTGTGCAATAAAACTTGAGCATTCGCAACACTCCTCCGTCCATCCACGTCTTTACGTTCGTTCGCGCGGATCAACCTTCCGACCGATACAGAAAGGGATTAAGATTCATAATTATTCGATTAATTTCATAATCGATTGAGCTATAACTTCAAATAATACATTGAACTTTTCTGTAATAATTAGACTGCAGACGTTCGCGCGTTTATGGAAATTTCAAGATGCAAAAATGCACAGAATGCTTCGAGCGTGCAATAAATATGTAAAATATCTAAAGCAGTTGTTGTAAGTAACGAACGCGAATGTTAAAAGTTACATTAGCTTCTATTTTATTTAACTGTCTACTTTTATCGCGTTCTTGGCAATTGTTAACGGCGTTGTTTGGATTGTATAAGGACGAACATAGATGATCATCAAGGAGGTAATTTATCGAGGTAGAACTTTCAGGGTGCACGATATTCTATACACGAACAATATCGATCGTACAATTATACTACAAGAAACGATATAAGTTTTCTTAACTTTATCCTTCAAAGTTGAAGTTCAAATAAAACCATTTTCATTAATGAATTTACGTTGCAAGCAGCATGAAAATCAATTCTTGGAAGACACGCGAGGATCATACTTTGTATGTACGTACAGTAAAAGGGACGGAAAAAGGTGGAAAGCGAAACGATTATAATTGAAAAAAATACGACAGTGAGAGGACAGAGTGTTTCACCAATTTCTTTATATGTCCTTGCATACGTGTACATGCAATATACGTGTTCGTGAATGGGCGTGTATTTTGCAACTGAACGAACGCCGGGAAATAGAGTAAGGTAATTATCGTCATAAATTTTTGCAATAGCCTATCTTGTACTTAATCGCGTACGCATTATAGGGAACTGTGTCTGTCCGTGGTCACGCTTCGTGGATGCAGTCATTCACGCGGCCAATCGTCGCAATGGACTAACAACATCCTGCAATTAAAGTACTTGTTCTGATATAGTTCCACGACATGTGGAGCAGAGATCGAAAGACGACGGCCGACGAATTTCGGTGAAATCATTCTCAGTCGCCTATAACTGATTGCCTTTCCCCGCAAATTCATAAATCAACGTTATGCGCTCTGTACGTAAGACATACTTAACGAGCTCGAATGGCAAAATAGGAAAAGCTTCGCTACAACACGATAACAATCGTTAATGTACAAGGAGTTAAAATAGAAAGCGTATTGCTCTTTATTTTAAATCTAAACACCTATCGATTAATATTCATTGTACCTGTGCAAAGAAATTCAATTTTCCTATGAACAAAAGTTTTCCTCTGTAAAAGAAAGTGACTCTAGACTTTCGACCAACTTTCGTACCAAGAATTACCCCGTTTGCGAGGGTTACCTCGTTATCGACACACCCTGTGGTTTAAAAGGTTTCGCTCGTTAACCTGTGATCTCCGTGAATAAACGCGTCGTGCAACAAAGCCGTACGATCCGTCGATTTAAACAACGGTAGACGTTTCTCAGGACAATACGCGTTTTGTAGATCATGGAGAACAAAACGGGCGTGCTTAATATGCTCCGCGTCTTATCATGGAATCGCACGCGAAGCGGTCTCTTCGTCACGCAAAACGACGCTCGTAAAGAGATCTTGGAAAACACATATACGTGTCTACGTTCGATGCTGCCGCCAGCGTTTCCTATTTATTCATTCAATATCTTCGAATGTATATACGAACGTTTGTAGTTGTACGATTATATTATACTCGCGTCGAGAATCCAGTCAGGCTACCATCGACCGATATCACGCGATCCTTGATATTTTAATTAGGGAATTAATTATGTGATCTGACGTAAAACGAAGTGACTCAACATTGGGCATCATTTCAAATGATTTCAGAGTTATATTTACTTTAAGCAAGATATCTAAACATCGAAAATCTTTTTTAATTTTCGAATGGTTTCGTGCGATGGCTTTCACTCTTTTCTCTTTTTCATTCGTAATAGAGAAACTTGTTAAAAAATACTACCCTTGTCCAGATATCGAATCGAACGAATTATTGAAAAATATATATCTATCAATCATCATTGTTACAATTTTATTCTGAACTTCTGCGGCAAAGTAAAGATCAAGATACTTATCCACGCTTTTCGATTAACTAATAAGCTAAGTCACTATCTTCAATCGGTAAGCGAAGATCTATTTCACGTTATAGAATCGAAAATTCTGGAAAATATATAGAAACGCAATGGAAGAATACACAAGTTGATTGCCAGTCTAAAATATCGCACCGTATATTTTATTCATTCATCGTCCCCGCCGCTGTCTCGAACGTTTCGTTTGTTCATTGAATTCTAACGTTCGATTCACGTTGCATACGGGCGGAGAGCAGCACACGGATTCCCACAGCGACGAACGCGGTTAGGTCATCATTGTCCATGGTCATGGGCCGTCTAGGTGGTCCTCGTGAAAAGGAAACTGCATAATATATGCACACGCGTTTTATTGCGGCACGCGGGCAAACGCATAAAGGAAAGGCAACCGCATTATGCGCGACACGAGTTCACCGACACGCTGGTTTATCTTATGCGCTGTGATGGAATCAGACATGACGCAAGTGGTGCCAGGACAATTTTTCGTTTATTTTCTTTTCTCTTCTGCGTTCGGAACACCTTACAAAAATTAAACCTCTCGTTTAAACAATTCTTTTAAATGACATCTTTTTTTACAACTATTTTACAATAAACGGAGAGATTCGTCTCCATAGAATTAACAGTAAACTCGATGTTATATCGTATATATTCGATATTATAATAATTTTCATATATTTAACAATGGCTTCGCGATGCAAATCTTCGAGACTTTGCATCGAAATCGATTTCCTGAGATTGAGATATCTGATCTAGACTGGTCGCACGATGTCGTTGGACCAAAATGTATTCTCGCACCGATATGAATTTTCAGGTGGTTAGTAAGCTCTTCTGCGTAGAAACCACCGATATATACCATCGTGTAAAAGAAGGACCGTGGGAGGCGAAGAGAGTGCATTCGCGTGGGCCTGTATCCTGTGCCACGTCCATTTGTCCCCGTGTCCGTTTCGTTTGTCGACAGTAGTATGTATGCGCTGTCGAGATTATCTTTTGGTGGAAAACGAGTCACCGTAAATCGTATAGCGCGTTACGGTCTTTCGTCTTTTATAGTAAGCCTAGCAGAAGGATAAACCGCCCCTGCTGAGAAAAGATTAATTAAACGTATCATCGCGTGTTTAACATTTTACTTTGCATTATCCTAATTATTACGTATGGAATATGTAACGTAGATATTAGAAGAATCAAAATTCATGTATATAAGGAAGAGTAATGATACTTCACTTACTTTACATATTTGTTTCTTTCTCTCTCAAGGTACTGTTATAAGTTTGAGGCGGGTATACAACAGGGTTAACACTCGCTACCAGCAAATATGCCAACGTTAGGCGAATCGTTTGCACGCACGAAATTATATACACGTATTGTTACATCCGCTTTCATTCGACATTCCTTTGAAAGAGAGATTATTATTACGTCCTACGGACGCATCAGGAATACAAATGAAAGGCGTGAACTATCGAGTGGGTAAAAAAGGGGAAATTAGCATAATGTCTCGAATCATAAATTACACGTGTATTGTCAAAAATTGATCGCAGAAGTAGATATTATCTTTTATATATATATCTTAGAAATTAGTACAACTCTAGATTAATTAACAATATATAGTTGTATTTTTCTTCACTTGTTATCACTCGCTTTTAATGTAGTAATTGTAAATACAAAAGAATTCACTTCTTATGAACCGTAGACTATCGCGTGTTCTATAAATGTACCCTGATAAACGAGACGATATAATACGTATATATGTACAGGGTTAACGACCGCAGGGGGTGCAGTTGGGTGCGGCTTTTCCTAATATCGTTAAAGGTGAGAGCAAACGTTTCACCGATTATTTACAGGATACAAAGCAAATAACGGTTGTGTTAGAACGTTTATACGCGTTCCTCGGAGTAATAGGTATGATGTGTATAATGAATAATTGAATTTCTAACAAATATCGAAACGATAATTCATGGACGGAAATAATGTGCGCAAGTATCGTCGAAGATAAAATGTTTATTATAGAGAACATGCTACACCACTTTTTCTTTGGGATATTGTACGATAGTGCTCCGATTTGAATAGCACAAAATTAGCAACTGCTCATTTACAATTGTATATACTATTGTATATACAATTTTACAAGGATTTTACAATGTCAATTTCTCTTGATATTGGATTGATAGGAAATTGTCGTTTTGTGGATGCTCGATCAAAAAACTATACAATAGTTTGATCTGTCAACAAAACGCAAAAAGCCTCAATTGTTTAAAAGTTTTGTCCTTGTTTACAAACATACGTACTATTTTCTTATTAGTATATTCATGTTTTGCTATAATGGTTACGATCAACGTGGAAAAAAGGTGTATTCTAAAAATTCTATGTTTTGAAGAGAATGTAATTAATAAAAGAGAAATAAAAAATTATTATAATTATAATAATTATAAGATTACATTTAACTTCAAATTACTTTATGTCATTCATACTTTATCTTATATCCGCAAAACACTTGATCTTATAATCATAATCGTTAACAGTATATCATTAATATTCATTCTACTTATTCACAGAAAAACCGTGTATTATTACTATAAAATACTCCTATACAATCACAAATGTAACATCTCTCAAGTCAATGAAAAATTTCTAATTCTTTTTTTGTTGCATTATATATTACTTATGTACATTCCTATAAATATGCAGACATCATTCATATTAAATAACACAAAACTCGATCGATCGTTAAATTTACCACTAATATTCCCTCTAATTATTTATAGAATACGATGTTTACCTATAAAATGAAATATAATGGCAAGTATGTATATACATTGGAGCCTCGCATGATTCTGCAATTTCAGTTCCATTAACCATATATCAACAATGAACGAATCACCCAATGTCAACACTTTGCTACATTCTATGTTTTTCTGTTAACGTTTATTAAATGACTGATTTAAAAATATTAGATCAATCTATATTGATGATATATCCGATCTTATCTGCAAAGGTTTCGCTGATTTAAAATTTTCAAAGCACAAATTTGACAGAAAATGAATTAAAATTATAATTAGGTGCATACGAAAGTAATGACCGTAAATTGGCAACGCGTGTATATTACCGAGTAAAAATTTGCCATTACTTTCTTGCACAACTAATATAATTGTACATTCACTTTATATATTACTAAACCACAAAACTGTTTCTTCATAAATTATTACGTATGTCTAACACACTAATGGCAAAGGATGTTCTTGTACTATTCGTATAGACCACGTTGGATCCGGAAATTGGCTCCATTGGAGCTACTCACAGAGTCTTTAAATAATATTAAACAGCACTCACAGAACATACACTGTTACTGCGAGAAAGATAAGACATTTGACTATTACATAAATAAATTTCCTCACATTCATGTTTTTTTATTAAGAAATTGTCTGCAATATATTTATATTATCATTGGCTTCTTCTTCTTCCTCCTCTTCCTGAATAAATATAACAAATTCACGTCATAATTAGTCATGCCTTTAAATGGCAAATCATAAAGACCGCAAAAAATAAAATTTACTTACCTCGTCAAAACCAAAACATGTTTCCATTTCTTTCTGTAATTTTGGATCGCTTTGCATGTTCCGCGATAAAGATTTAGTACACGTTTCTGATTCCATTTTCAACTCATCTATTTCTATATCTTCTTCTTTTACTTCATCTCCTCCCTCGATTCTACCAGTTACAATTCCACTTTCTTGACTCAAAGGATCTTGCATCAATAAATCTCCATCTTCGTTAGCTACAACAGCCATTTGCTAAACAAGAATGAAAAAATTATATTTTATATACAAACGTGTACATAAACATTATGAACTAATATGCTTTTAGCATTGCTTATAACACATACTTGATCAGTTTCTTGATTGTCAGCTAGCTGTATAACCTCCAATACAACATATTGCTGACCATCACTTCCCTCCACTGCCATCACATCATCTTCATCTTCTTCTTCTTCATAATCTTTAAGCTTAGTAGCTAAATCACCTGTCATGACCTCTACTCTTTGCCCGTCTATTATTTGAATCTTTTTCTGTCTTCCCATCTTCAATGCTTGTTGCTTTTCTTGAATGGATGACTCTGGGTCATGCACAGCCATATGTCGAATTAGGTTTCCTTTATGCCTAAATAGCAAAACTTATATGCATACAACTGTATTTTCCTCTGTATTTTTACGTAATATGTGCACAACAAATATTACATACCTGAATGACCGTTCACATTCAGGGCATTGATGTGACTTCTCTTGAGGTGCAGGAGGAACATAAGAAGGATTGTGATACAAGTTACAATGCCGTTTAAGAAGTTGTTTCTGTCTGAATGATTGAAAGCAATGATCACAATGATATGGTTTTTGGTCCGTATGAATTAACATGTGGCTTTCGAGATGGCGCTCGGATATAGAAGCATATGGGCATAAATCACATTTATAACACTTTTCCCCTTCGTGAGTTTTACTATGCAGTTTGTAGCTATATCTAGAATGGTAAAATACATTATATATTTTATGTTTGGAATATATAACAGCCCAGTGTTCCCCACATACCTATCTGGGAATGATTTTCCACAGCGTTTACATTTCAAAGGTTTGTCAGAGGTGTGTAATTTTTGTACATGAATTCTGAGATCTGTTTTTCTCCTACAAGTTACTGGACATAATTCACATTGAAAGACTGGCTTGTTCCCAACTATAACATATATTATCATAAACAGAATAGCAAAAAATTACATAACAAAATTTACAACTTTTAACATGTAAAGTATCAACGTACCGTTATGTATTAATTTGTGAGCTTTTAAGCTGTTAGACTGAGTAAATCTTGCTTGACAAAAATCACACTCGTATGGTTTTTCTCCCGTATGTATGCGCAAATGGCGTTTTAGCTTGAAAGTATCAGGACTTGCATATGTACAATGCGGACACTGTAATGTAATAATAATTTTATGGTCGTAATTAACACTTTTTAAGGTATAAGTATACAATATACCTGATATGGACGTTCGCCTGTATGACACCGAATATGACGATGAAGTTTAGACAATTCGACAGATGCATAGTCACATTCAGGACATTTATGTGGCTTTTCATGGGTGTGTCTATATCGAACATGTCTAACAAGTTCACCTATAAATTTAATACTGTAATGATTATTGTGCCTCTGTATTCCAATATTTTTTATTTGTTTAATAATAGGAGGACAAATTATTATCGAAAAAGCAAGGAAGAAAATGTCTATAAATATTTCATACCAGAAGTTGTGAATGCACTTTCACAAAATTTACAACGATGTGGCTTGGTCCCAGTATGTGTATTAACATGATTTTGAAGCGAGGCCAGAGTTTTAAATCCTCTTTCACAAACGCTACATTTATGTGGCCTTTCCTCAGAATGTGATTTCATATGTCGTGATAGCAGATATCTACATCATATGCAGATTAAGAAATTGTTTACAAGTTAGTCAAATTTTGATTATGGTATAATTTAAAACAAACTAAAAAATTACCGTTTTGGACTTGTGTAGTTACAGTAATTACACATATGAGCTTGAGTAACAGTTTGGGACTTTTTAGGTAAAATTTTCACAATCTTAGTTTTGTCATCTTCTACTTCTGATTCCACAGGTACTTCATTATCTTCATTATCTTCAAAATCATAAACTGTAAGATCTTGTTCTCCTTTTCCTTCTTCACCTTCAGTTCCCTCTTGCTCTACCAGTCTGCTTCCCTTATCCTCATCATCTGGTTGTTGAACTATTAGTACATAACTGACTTCAGCAGGATTAGTATCAGATGGTACAATAGTAACTGTTTGATACGGATCTCCAGAATTGATTACAACCTCATTATTTCCATTACTAACTACCTGCCCCTATAAAACACAGTATATTTTCATAGTAATAACATAACCATGGCACTCCATGAACAAAGATAATTTTGCTTACATCTTCATCACCATCAACATTTTCTAATTCTCCAATTTCATGGAATTCTTCTTCTTCAAGTGTTTCTTCTTCATTTTGTACATCTGCTTCTTCTACTTCTTGGATTTGTACCTGTGTCATCACAGGTGTTTCATCATTGTTTGCTTGGTAGTAATATTGACCAGATTGATCAACAAAGTAAGTTCCACCCTCTTCACCACCTGACAATCCTTCCACTTGTTGCACTATAATAGGAAGTTTTAATAAAGATATGCCTTTTGTAAAAGATATAGAAAATTTATTTGTAAATACTAACACTGTACATGCTGTAATTGCTCTCCTTGACCTCCTTCTATTTCTTTATTAAATGTTTCTAAGTAAGTCTGTATCTCTGTTACAGATTCTTGCTCCTCTTCTAACTTAATCGTTGTTACATTACTTGTCATGGTCAAATCATTAACTCATAAAAGTGTACTTTCTCTCATTAGTCTAAAACAACAATAAATGTATTTTTTATTCAATGGTTTAAATAAATAAAGCTATTACTTTTATACAGTTTACCTTATATTATTAATTATTTTAGCAAAAAAACTTAAAATTAAATATGTTTTTGCATATTTTCTTACAAATTTTCAATAGGTCTCTATATTAAAAAGAAGTTGTAATTTAAGCTAACTACACAATCATTCTAAAAAACATAATACTATATGTATACACATATATACTACATCTAATTGATAAGAGAGTATTTATGTATATATTCAATCACTTATGACTTGAAAATTAAAAAATACATCGTGCAACAGCAACATAGTTCTCAAAATAAAAAACTTCAAATATCTATATAAATAAATATCATTAAGGATGAGATCATTTAAATAGTTATCGAATTATTATTGGAACGCTATAAAGTCCAAACATCATACAAATGAAATATGACAATATTCGTGTCACAAGAATCCATAAGTGTAAGTGGTTTTGCATTCGAGTATATCCGAAGACACGTGAATACATAAGAATATTCGGAAATAGCCGAAATATGGGATCAACACTAGTCTATCGGTGGGAAAGCACAAGACGTCATGAATCATGAATCGTGCAAAATTAAAGGAAAATCAATACATTGAGGTAAAGAAATTGAAGATACGAAAGAACGAATGAATGACAGGGATCGAAAGTGATTCAATTCATCATGCGTTGGAATCCTCGTAATCGAGGATCAGTGTTATATCATTGAAAAGTCAAACAAGATTGAAAGATAGGTGCGACACACGCTGCCGCGAAATGCCATGTAACTCGCGAAGCGGGTAATGCGAACGAGGATGATGACATGGGCAAAATGTGATTGCGTGCTTAAGGAGCATGTGGAAATTCGTAGCAGGCCTCCACGGTTTTCAAACCGTAGACTTTCGTCAGACATCGGAAGTTCCGAAGTTGCGCATTCTGTCGGAAAGCTTTAAGACAACGCGGATGCTTTCGATCACAGGACACAGGGGGCATTAACAACAAAAATTTCAGAAAATTATCACCGTCGGCGCTGTCATCAATGTAGAGGACGCAACGGAAGGGTGTACTATCCGTTCTGCTGCGTGCTGGATATAACTTACCAATCTTTTGCGTTTAGCTCGCGACTGGCTGACACAGGTCTCTTCAAATGCCACTAAAAACCGTCTTTCTTCACACAGAATCGTGTTTTCACGTTATGCTAAGTTCACTTACAGCACAAAATCTCCAAATATTCATTAACCTCGTAAAGTCGAAAACGTTCGTGTGAGGGCGTTGTATATGATCCGGAGGACAATATGGCCGATCGAACTACCAATGTTCAAATACTGCGCGTTGATAACTGCGCACTGAAGCGCCGAACGATTGTCGTTCTAGGTACTTCCGGACATTAAACTTACCTAGATCTTACCCGATCTTACCAATTAATGTCTTCATTTTTCTATGCATCCGGTTTTCATGTTTGAGCATGCCACGGTTTGTTTAATAATACGATGCTATTGGTAAACGCAGCTTGATAAAATCGAGATTTTAACGACCTCATACTTGCGAGTGAAGATACTTAGACTTTATAAAAGAAAAAAATATCTGATGCCACATGAAAGTAGCTAAGAGAGAAAAGAAACTAAAAATCTTAGTGATGAGACCAACACCTATTTACTTATATGAAATATTGTTATTTTTTCCTAAATGGTTAGTAACTGACGTACTTTGATGAGCAAAATACATATACAATGATAACGTCACCATTGTTTTCTTTTGTATGTTGGATATTAAAATATTATATACATACATATGTATGCTGTAATTAATCGAACATTTGTTAGATGCATTGTTAAAATCTCTTCAAACAATTGGCACATATTTTATTTTTACAAATTGAAATATTACAATTTTTGCATAATTTTAATGATGTAATGGAGGTCAAGCATAAGGTACAAAAAATATCGACTTTCAATCACTTTTGTAATATGTATGTATATTTTGCAGATGACCTATCTTTTTAAATGGAAACCTTTTGTTTTATACATATCGAAATCTCTCATCATTCTATGAAAAAAAAGTATTAGGATAATACGGTCGAAAATTGATTAGTTTAAAAAATATTTTAGCTTTAATTTTGTAGAATATCATATGAAAACAAGGGAAAACGAAAGACAGTACTTTTGTGTTTATGATTTGTTTGTTTTGCGTATGATAAATTCCACAAAATTAAAGTTAGAATATCTTTTAAATTAATTATTTTTAGACGATATTACTCTAATACTATTTTTCGCAGAGACGACTAACAGCAAAATACATATGCACTTTTACATTTGCAAAAAGATATTATCATGAATATATAGTTTGTCACTTTGAATTATTTATCTTTTTCTTTTTCATTTTTTCTTCATACTCATCGTTTAAGAGAAACACGTCGAGAACTAATAACATGAACATGCTGAACACTTATTGTGTATAAATACACTATTTGGTAAGTGTAAATTAGCAACTTAAATAATAAATGTAATATTATAATAATAGAATTCCATGATTTTTATAAAAAGTATATAATTAAGTAATAAACTGTTTTCATAAAATAGTACAGTTTATTAACACATTTTATAAAATTATTGTGAATGAAATATTTACGTGTGCTATATTATATGAATTTGATACCAAGAATTTTATTGTGTATATAACATAAAAAAATCTTTCTATAATTGCTTTATTAATCAGTTGAAAGTATTAATGAGCTATTTAAATAAAAGAATTAATATTAAATAATTTGTGATATTAAGGGGTCTAGAAATTTGAAAAAATCGAAAATTTATTTTTCATATTTCCAAAGTTTAGACATTCAAGAATATGCCCTTAAAAGGATTTTTCAAAATTTCAATTATTTTATGAGTTACAGCCATTTTTGTGACGCAGCATCTGCTTCGATCCGACCAGAACAAATGAACAGTAGACGGTAGACATTGTCCGAATAAATTTGTCTCAAAACTTTAAACGCGTTTTTCTCGAAACTACTTTTTTCGAGTTGCCGTGCACGATATCTCAAGTTCTAATGAACCGATTTATTTTAAATTTGGTCTGAATATTCCTTATATACTTCTCTATCGTCCGGACTACGCTCAGCTCAAAATCTTTAATATTACTATTTTTAAAATGTTGTATTGACTTTTCCAAGATTCAGACGATAGCGGCATCCATACTAATTAAGAATCTGTTCACTTTTTTGTTTCAAATGACCAGAAGGGTTGATATCATGCACGCCACGACACCCCATCTTTGGCAGCACCCACTTTGCCAGCTCATAACTTTTTAAATATTAAGTTTTTTTCCGGAGATTCCGAAGACAAAGATTTCAGAAAATTATCATCGTCAGCGCTGTCATCAATCTAGAAAACGCAATAGAAGGAGTAACGTTCGTTCTGCTATATGCTGCGTGCTGAAAATGGATTAGTGATAGATAGTGGAGCTTTTTGCGTCCACTTTGCAATCATTTGCCAAAAGTTTTCTCAAATACCGCTAAAAATCGTCTTTTTTCACATGGAATCGTGGAATCGTGGAACATAAAATGTCCAAATATTGACTTACTTTGTAAAGTTAAAAACGTTCGTGTGAGGGCGTTGTATACTACTCGGAAAACTATGTGGCCGATAGAAGTACGAATGTTCAAATCGTGGAAGTCCTTTAAATACTGCGCATTAGTAACTACGCACTGACACGCTGGACAACTATCTTTTTAGGTAGACTCAGGAGTTAAACCTATCTAGATCTTACCTTTTTCCTTTTTCTATGCATTCAGTTTTCACTTACTAAAGTATGTTTGAACATGCAATGGTTAAATTCATTTAATAATGCGAGGTTATCGACAAACGTAAATTGATAATTGGAAATATAAGTTCATTTCGTATACTTAAATACGGAACCTAACCCCAGAGGTGGTAAGAAGAGGGTAAAATTTGTTTTACAGAATAATCGTATTTCTATGTCCATTAAAGTTAATGATGTGAAATTCGGCATATGAACTCATTAAAAATAAACGAACACGTATTTGACCAGTTTTCAAAATTAGATACTTAAAGAGTATTCAACTAGAGGCTAGCGAAGCCGCGAGTGGGCAGATAGTATATTATATATGTATATATTATAATTATTTGGATATTCGTTAGATATAATATTAAATTCTTTTGAATTCATAGTTGACACATATCTTGTTTTTACAAATTGACATATCATTTAATTTTAATAAAACAATTGATTTTATATTGTTTTCATATATTGTTTATTATAAAATGTTGATGATGTAATAAAAGTAGAGGAAGAGATGCAAAATTATTTTTATTTTTAATCACTTTTTTATTATAGCAGTTGTAATCTCATATATTGCATGGAAATAAATAGATTGCAATGCAGAACATATAGATTTATTACTTGTAGGCAAATATACTTCGATAGGTGTAAATTGGCAACTGTTATAATAAATATATTATAATAAAAAAATACTATGACTTGTTTTAAAAATATATGATTCAGTAATAGACTGTTTTCATGAAGTATGTAGCTTGTTAGCTTCTTAGTATATAGCTTGTTATTTATTTCATAAAATTATCGTGAATGAAATATTTATACATAATATTATATGAATGTGATACTATGCGAATTTTATCACGTGTATTTAACATAAAAAAGACTACAATTCTATCATTAATCAGTTTAACATATTAGATGATTTATGTAAATAAAATAACTGATTTGAAATAATGTGTCTAAATTATAAATTACAAAGATGATAAATCGTATAAATAATATGTAGGTATATGTATGAAACATTATAAAAGTAATTCCAATTAGCCATATTTTTCTTACAATAATAATGCATTTACTTTCTGAATATATTAAATGTCATACATAAACGATCCAAAATATAACAATTGGATCCTGTAGTTCTATGCGTTGCTCGGAATAATGTGTGCGTTGAACAATTTAATTCCTAACAAATAACGAAATGATAATTTATCAACAGAAATAATATGCGCAAGTATCGTCGACAACATAATGTTTATTATAAAGAAGATGCTACACCATTTTTTCTTTGGGATATTGTATGAAAGTGCTTCGGCTTAAATAGCACACAATTATCAATTGCTCAATTACAATTGTATAAAAAGTGTACAAGAGCGTACAAAATTTTTACATTGTTTTTACAGCATCAATTACATTAACGATTTATATAGAATAACTTACGTGCGACAGTTTATGAAAAATTGCGTGTAAGATTACATTTACAAGAAATTGGCTACATAAGAGAAGTCTACATGTAATCCATATAGATAGGAAATGGATGTTTCTGAATGCTGCGCAATCACAAAATTATACAAGAAGTTAAACTGTCACAAATCGATAGAATGCAAAAGGATTCAATGAATTAAAAGCTTCATCACTGTTTACAATCATATGTAATATTTTTTTACTAGTCTATTTGCATTTTGTTATAGTTGCAATCAATATGGAAAAGAAGGTGCAGCCTAAACATGTAATGTTCTAAAGGAAACGTAATTAAAAAAGATGAATAAAAAATTATTATAATTATACTAATAATCATTACAGTTCTCTTAATATCAAGATACTTTCCGCCATTCATACCTTATCCTGTATCCACAAAAAATTTGACCTGATAGTCATGGTCATTAATATTATATATAGGTACTTATTTATAGAATGATCATTTATTAATATTATGAAATACTTCTATACAATCACAAATGTAACATCTGCTAGATCAATGAAAAATTTCTAACTTTTTATGCTGCAATACGAATTTCTTATTATGTACATTCCTACATATATGCAGATATCATTCATATTAAATAACTTAAAACTCGATCATCACTATTAAATTTACCGCTTGTCTTTCCTCTAGTTATTTATAGAATATGATGTTTATCCATAAAATGAAATGTAATGGTAAGCATGTATATACATTGCAGCCTCGCGTTATTCCGTAATTTTAGTTCCATTAACCACATACCAACAATAATCAATCAATGGAAATGTATTATTACATTCTATGTTCTTATGCTAACATTTACTAAATGACTGGTTTAAAAATATTAGGTCAATCTATGTTAATAATATATCCGAATGCATTAGTGACGGTCTTGTTGAGTTACGATTTTTTAAAGCAAATTTTACTGATAACGAAGTAAACTAATATTAATTACATTATTATAAATGTACATTCGCTTTATATTTCACTAAATTATAGAACTACTGTTTTTTCATAAATTATTACATACATCTAATGCACTAGTGGCAAAAAATGTTCTTGTACCATGCGTATGGACCACGCTGGCCCGAAAATTGGCTCCATTGGAGCTATTCACAGAGTCTTTAAATAATATTAAACAGTACTCGCAGTATGTACGGTGTTACTGCGAAACAGATAAAACATTTGACTATTACATCGATAGATTTTGTCGCATTCATTTTTCATATTACGAAATAGTCTGCAATATATTTATGTTACCATTGGCTCCATCTTCTTCTTCCTCTTCCTAATATTCAATATTACAATAAATTCACATTATAATAAATCATATCTATAAATGGCAATTTGTGAAAGCGGTAAAAGATTAAATTCACTTACCTCGTCAAAACCAAAACAGGTTTCCATTTCCTTCTGTAATTTTGGATCACTTTGTGTGTTCTGAGATGAAGATTTCATAGCAGTTCCTGCTTCTATTTTTAATTCATTCATTTCTATTTCTTCTTCTTCTTCTTCTTCTTCCTCTTCTTCTGCTTCATCTCCTTCTTCGCCTGTACCAGTTACGATCCCACTTTCTTGACTCAAAGGATCTTGCATCATCAAATCTCCATCTTCACTGGCTACTACGGCCATTTGCTAAACAAAGGTGGAACAATCAGAATTATATTCATACATAAACATAATGAACTAATATTTTTTTAGCGTTTGTTATAATACACACTTGATCAGTTCCTTGATTGTCAGCTAGCTGTATAACTTCTAATACAACATATTGTTGACCATCACTTCCTTCGACCGCCATCATATCCTCTTCATCTTCTTCTTCATCTTCGTAACCTTTAAGTTTAGTAGCTAAATCACCTGTTATTATAACACAACACATGGATATTAGTCAATGACCTGAATACAGATCATTGAGTAAGTGTCCCTGTGATTACAATATTTTATGACTATTCATTATATATGTGTAGTACAATTTGCTTCATTCACAAAATTTAAATATTGTTTTAAAAATATCAAATTTGCGACTTGTTCCTAATTATACACATATAAATGAACCAAGTTTCCTTGTTCTGCCTTGCAAGTTTGATGAAACTTTACCTGTCATGACCTCGACTCTCTGTCCATCTATAATTTGAATCTTTTTCTGTCTACCCATCTTCAATGCTTGTTGCTTTTCTTGAAGAGATGATTCCGGATCATGAACAGCCATATGTCGAATAAGATTCCCTTTATGCCTGAAAAACAAAATACGTAGGCGTTCAACTGTATCCTCCTCCATATCTTCACTTCATAAGTGTATCACAAATATTACATACCTAAACGGTCGTTCACATTCAGGGCATTGATGTGTCTTTTCTTGTGGCGGAGGGGGGACATAAGTAGGATTATGATATAAATTATAATGCCGTTTGAGAAGTTGTTTTTGTCTGAATGATTGAAAGCAATGATCACATTGATATGGTTTTTGATCAGTATGAATTAACATGTGGCTCTCGAGATGACGCTCGGATATAGAAGCATATGGACACAAATCACATTTATAACACTTTTCTCCTTCGTGAGTTTTACTATGCAATTTGTAGCTATATCTACAATGGTAAAATACATTATATGTTTTGTGTTTGCAACATATAATATTTTCACTTTTGTAGCTATTATACAGCCCAGTCTTTGCCACATACCTGTCTGGGAATGATTTTCCACAGCGTTTACATTTCAAAGGTTTGTCAGAGGTGTGTAATTTTTGTACATGAATTCTGAGATCTGTTTTTCTTCCACACGTCGTTGGACATAATTCACACTGAAACACTGGCTTGTCACCAACTATAACACATATTATTATAACCATAAATGAAAGAAAATTACATAACAAATGTAACAACCTTTAACATATAAAGTATCAACATACCGTTATGTATCAGTTTGTGAGCTTTTAAGCTGTTAGACTGAGTAAACCTTGCCTGACAAAAATCACACTCGTATGGTTTTTCTCCTGTATGTATGCGCAAATGGCGTTTTAGTTTGAAAGTATCAGGACTTGCATATGTACAATGCGGACACTGTAATGTAAATGTAATGATAATTTTATGGTTGTGAATAACGCTTTTTAAGCTTTTTATATGAACATATAATATACCTGATATGGACGTTCGCCTGTATGACACCGAATATGACGTTTGAGTTTAGATAATTCAACAGATGCATAGTCACATTCATGACATTTATGTGGTTTTTCATGTGTGTGTCTATATCGAACATGTCTAACAAGTTCACCTATAAATTAATACTAATGATGATTACTATGTTTCTGCACTTCAATGCTACTTGTTTCTTTTAATAATTCAAAGTCAAATGCTTATCAAATGAAAAAAGATATAAAGAGTTTATAAATATTTTGTACTCACCAGAGGTTGTGAATGCACTATCACAAAATTTACAGTGATGTGGCTTGGTCCCGGTATGTGTATTAACATGATTTTGAAGCGAGGCCAGAGTTTTAAATCCTCTTTCACAAACGCTACATTTATGTGGCCTTTCCTCAGAATGTGATTTCATATGTCGTGATAGCAGATATCTACATCATATGCAGATTAAGAAATTGTTTACAAGTTAGTCAAATTTTGATTATGGTATAATTTAAAACAAACTAAAAAATTACCGTTTTGGACTTGTGTAGTTACAGTAATTACACATATGAGCTTGAGTAACAGTTTGGGACTTTTTAGGTAAAATTTTCACAATCTTAGTTTTGTCATCTTCTACTTCTGATTCCACAGGTACTTCATTATCTTCATTATCTTCAAAATCATAAACTGTAAGATCTTGTTCTCCTTCTCCTTCTTCACCTTCTGTTCCTTCTCGTGCTATTGGTTTGCTTTCCTTATCCTCAGCATCAGGTTGCTGAACTATTAGTACATAACTGACTTCACCAGGATTGGTATCAGATGGTACAATAGTTACTGTTTGATACGCATCTCCAGAGTTTATTACAACCTCATTATTTCCATTACTCGTTACCTGGCCCTATGAAAAACAATATACTTTCATAGCAATGGTATACAGTATGACATTCCATGAACAAAGATAATTTCTCTTACATCTTCATCACCATCAACATTTTCTAATTCTTCAATTTCATGGTATTGTTCTTCTTGAGGTGCTTCTCCATCATTATTTACATCTGCTTCTTCTACTTCTTGAATTTGAACCTGTGTCATGACAGGTGTTTCATCATTATTTGCTTGGTAGTAATATTGACCAGATTGGTCAACAAAGTAAGTTCCACCTTCTTCTCCACCTGACAGTCCTTCCACTTGTTGCACTATAAGCTAAAGTTTTAATAGAAGCTTGTTCCTTCTAAGGTAAATATAGAAAATTCATTTGAAAATACTAACACTGTACATGTTGCAATTGCTCTCCTTGACCTCCTTCTATTTCTCTATTAAATGTTTCTAAGTATGTCTGTATCTCTGTTACAGATTCCTGCTCCTCTTCTAACTTAATTGTTGCTACGTTAGTTGTCATGGTCAAATCATTAACTCATAGAAGGCTACTTTCTGTCATTAATCTGAAAGAACAAAAGATGTATTTTTTATTGAATGCTTTGTAAATAAAAGTATAATTTTCAAATAGTTTACCATATATTTTACTTTTTGTGTCATAAAAACATATTGTAATTAGTTACGCATTTGTATATCTCTTTATAAATTTAATGGAGTTATTCTATTGCAAACAAAATTTTATATTTTATGCTAACTACATAATCATCACTTATAGACAACATAGTGCTATATATGTACACATATATACATACTATATCTAATTGTGAAGAAGATATTTAGCTACATATCTAATCACTTATTGCAATATGCAGTTTTGGCATTAAAAAGATTCGAAGATCTACTTGATAAATATTCATGAATATATGGAATCATTTACATAGTTATCGAATTATTACAGAAACGACGTAGAGTCGAAACATCATATACATAGAATATGACAATCGTTTCATAAGAATGCGCAAGTGTAATCGGTTTTACTTTCGAGAGCATTCGAAAACACGTGCATGCATTCGGAAATTGCATCGATCATCACTGATATATCAGTGGGAATGCACGAGGCATCATGAGTGGTGCGAAATTAAGGAAAAATAAATATATCCTTGTAAAGAAATTGAAGGTACGGAAGATACGGATGAACCAGAGGTGACAAGAGCGAATAATTAATAAGATTGACCATGTGTTGGAATCCTCGTAATCGAGTATCGGTGTTATATCATTGGAAAGTCAAACGGGATTGACAGAAGCGACGCACGCTGCCGCGGAACGCCATGTAACACGCGAAGCGGGTAATGCGAACGATGATGACGCCATGGGCAAAATGTGATTGCGCCGTGATGGGTGAAGGAGCGTGTGGAAATGGGTAGCGGACCTCCAGGGTTCCGTAACCGAGGACTTTTGTCAAACATCGGAGGCTCCGAAGTTGCGCATTCTGTCGGAAAGCTTTTAAGACAACGCGGGTGCTTTCGATTTCAGGACACAGGGGGCATTAACGACAAAAATTTCAGAAAATTATCACCGTCGGCGCTGTCATCAATATGGAGGACGCAACGGAAGGGAATACTGTTCGTTCTGCTACGTGTTGGATATAACTTACCAATCTTTTGCGTTCAGCTTGCGGCCGGCAGGCACAGATCTCTTCAAATACCTTCAAAAATCGTCTTTCTTTACACGGAATCGTGTTTTCACTTTGTGCTAAGTTCGCCTGCGATTCGAAACCTCTAAATATTCGCTTACCTCGTAAAGTCGAGAAAGTTCGTGTGAGGGCGTTGTGTAAGACCCGGAGGATAATATGGCCGATCGAACTACGAATGTTCAAATGCTGCGCGTTGATAGCTGCGCACTGGCATGCATCACTCGTCATGTTTACACCGGACGACTGTCGTTTTTAGGTACTTCCGGGTAGTAATTTTACCTATATATTACCAATTAACTTTTTCCTTTTTTCATGTATTCGGTTTTCACTCACTGAAGCATGTTTATAAGTATACGGCGGTGAAACTACTTTAATAATATTTTGTTACTAGTAAATGTAGCGTTGATAATGCTGAGATGTAAGTTCATGTGATATAGTTGCTGGTGAGGTGCATTCGACGAAATAAAAAAAGTCCACCGCCATGCGGAAAGAGCGGGAAAGCCATAGTTAAGGTGGGAACAAGGATTAAAATCTTAGTGGGGAGAACAACACCCATTTACTTATGCGAAATATCACTTTTTCCTAAATGATTAATAACTGATGTATGTTGATGAGAAAATATATACAATGACGATACAATCACATGTTAAGTATTAAAAAATTATATACATATGTATGTGCAATTATTCGAACATTTGTTAGGTACAATATTAAAATTTTTTTTGTCAAGCATAAGGTACAAAAAATGTCTTGACTTTCAATCAGTTTTTTATTGTAACAGTTCTAATCTCACGAGTTTGCACTGAAATAAACAGATATTACACGATAGTACACTATATGATAAATATAAATTAGTGAGTAAAATAACAAATATGATATTGAAATAAAAGAATACAATGATTTTTAGTAAAAGTATATAATTAAATAAGAAACTGCTTTTTTTAAATATATAGTTTATTAATACATTTTATAAAATTATCGTGAATGAAATATTTACATATGGTATATTATATGAATTTGATATTAACAGTTTTATCACGTGTATGAAACAAAACGAACTTCCCATAATTGTTTCATTAACCAGTTAAAGATATTAGATGAGCTATGTAAATAAAAGGATTAGTTTGAAATAATTTGTATTATTAGATTATAAATTACAAGGAAGATAAATTGTACAAATAGTATGTAGAAATACGTGTAAAACGTTATAAAAATAATTCCAATTGTTATATTTTTTTCTTATAACAATAATATATTTACTTCCTAAATATAGTAAATAGTATACACAAACGTCCCAAAATATAACATCAACTGATTTCTTTTATGTTAATATTGATAACATAAAAACATGTTTTATACGTATCTTACATAATTCTTTTTTAGCAAAAACAACGAAAAACAAACATAAGCTATGAATAGGAAAGATCGATTTAAAAATATTAGAGTTATAGCATAAACATAAATATATAACAATTAAAATTCGTGTTATGTGTATGTAGAAATCAAATAAATTTCTATCTGTATAACCTATATTCCATGCATGTCACAGACTTGTTGATCCATAAAATTTTTAATATCAACTTTTAAAATATAAATAACTACTATGGCCATTATGATTGTAACTATCATAGAAAAGAATAATAAATGCTTCAAGAAAACGACATCATTGTACAACTTTGTATGACTGTCTTTCAAATGTGCTATCTGTAAGTAACCAATGTATATATTAGTATACTGTTCATTAATATCATACTTTTAATCACATTATTTTGCCTTACTTTCCGGGAAAGTATATCTATTTGACCAGTTTCTGATAAGCCTGAGGTAGAATGTAATTTTGATGTTTCATTACTTGTAATTCCACCATCGCAACATCTTAATTTATGTTCCTCTGCTGGTTTCTCAGACTGAATAAAACATAGATTAACAATTACACATTAAACGTCTATATAATTAATATATATCGATGTGTTACCTTCCATAAAACTGCTAGTTCTTGGGCCGATGCGTTCGGATCTTTTAATGGAAGGCACATAACTAAGAATTTATCGACATGAAAGAGACTGCGCATATTATGTTCTTGTTGTACAACGACTGAAATCGTGCGTTGTTCTTGAGGTAATAAAACTCCCGAACTTAGCCGTACTTTAAACTTTCCCGGCGACGTTGTTTTTACCTACATATATAATAGAAAATATTTATGCCATGTTCCATATACATCATATCGTAAATTTTATCATAGAAGAAAAACTCATCTTACCTTATAAGATAAAGGTTTATCTACAGTCACATTTTTAATTGTAATTGTTCCACTAATTTCATTTCCTACTTTATTAAATATAAATGCATCTGGTTCAATTGATAATACTGCAGAAGAATAAGTATTATTTGTCAGTGTAAGAATCAAAGTAGAGCTTTTATCTTTGCAAACATTTTCAATATTTACAATAGATGTAAAAATGAATTCTTTCTGACAATAAAATTTCCATTTCACACAAAAATCAGAAAGAATTCTAAAGAATCATCTCTACATCTATGATTTAATAATGCCTATAAAAGTATAATTTTACTTACATTGTTCTTCATTTGATTGATCTCCAAAACTACTTGTAGATTGTTCTGTTAATGGAGAACCTTCTGCAAAATGTACCTATAGTTACATAAAGATAAAAAATTAATTCTCAAAGGAAGTTGTGAATTATTTGACATTTATTTTTCCACTAATTAATTATATACCTTCTTATTATCAAATTTTCCATTTATTGTAGCATCTATATTATTTTGTGCTTCCGGTACAAATTTGAAGGTATATTCGTTACTACCTCCCCAACATGTTAGTATGTCACTAGGTTCTACCAACTCATGTATGTTGCTTTTATGCACAAATTTAATTTTAGGAATTGCCTTAGGTGGCAACCATGACTTTATCATTTTAAATGCAGTGTTTAATATCCATGGCATTTCAAAAATAATGATATAATTCAAAAAATTGGGGTAATAATTTTTACAAAGGTTGATCAGGTACTTGATAAATTCCATATCCATATTTAAAATACCAGTATCTGACATATCAAAGAAAAGTGAAATTTGATTGCCATTAGTTTGTCTGAAATACCATAGAAAAGATAACATTAATTCTGAAAACAAATTGATCTAAATAATTTATTACAGATTATTTAATCTTACCTTTCTAATCTTTCAAACCAATACACAACAAGCTTTTGCAATTGACTAAAGTCTTTACTGCCTTTAGTATGTAACTTACATTTAATAACAAACATTGTTTTACCATCTTTGTCTTTACCATGAATAAAGCACAATCCATTATTTAAATATTCTTTCATCACATTCTCTTCTGTAATCTCTGTAATTGGATAATATTGTAATAGTTTCATTAAAACTTATATAATTTATACATAGCAACTAAAAAAACTGTACATATGAATGTATATTATCCATACCATTTGTGCCAAATTTACTCCTCCAGCTGCAAGTCTCCCATAACATATTAAGTGAGTCTTGCATATTGTTTTCATTGTGCTCTAAAAATCTTTTTAACCAGTTATTATTGTTTACATTAGCAATATCTACAGGGTGAAATTCTGAAATTGGATTCAATTAAATGATTAATTGAATCATAAATATTTTTATGTATTATACATTTTATCAATTAAATACACAATAATAAGTGGAACAAAGGCTTCATAAATTATTCATAAAAATGATTCTTATTCTTTCATCGAATACATATTGAAAACATTGCTTTGGTATATGACACTAAGCTTAAATTTTACCCTGTGAGTTAGTCAGGTTTTTTCAAAATACCATTGCAAAGAAAAAGTACACCTTTTTACGATATGAAAATAAATATACACACTAGGATCTGGTGGTCCCTCGTCAGCCAACTTTTTAAAAAATTTTTCACGAAGTTCCGTAATTATTTCTGTTCGTACTTCCATCTTTGGTTAACCTGCTGATGACTATGACACTAACACTTTAACCGGCAGTGAACTACTAATACGATAACCAGACACGATAATTGTTTATCCGGATCCGGACATCAGATCTGCGCGCAGAGACACGCGCATACTGTTCGGAATCTTTGGACTTTATACTGAATTAATTGAAATCATACATTCTTTCTCCCATAATTATGTGTGGAACACACTTTTTCTTAAACATATACTGACGTAAGAGAACTTGATGTAAGTTCTAATTTTTTTACGGAAGTGCCACAAAGTCTGATTTGTAAAATATGATCTATGAATAATTTCCTTATAGACTATTACGTATTGGTTTGCTGTCAGTACGTATATTTATTTAAGCTTGATTTCCATATGCCCACGTCTAATATGTACTACAGAGAAATACACGAGTCCTTCGTTAATGAAAATAAAATAATAAAATTCAGTGGTACATTAAAATATTAAATGTTACTGTACTACAAGAGAATTTTAAATATTGTAAAATTTATGTTTTATGTATAAGTTTAAAATATGTTTTTCTAATTATAATCATTTTAACATCATTGGTAATTGATTTTTAATTACTATATTATTTGTATATATTTAGGTTTATTACTTTTTAAATTTGCTTAGGTTTATGAAAATAAATAGAAAAAAATTTTGAATATAAAACTATTTTTGTTGCACTTATAATTTTACAATAGTCTGTTAATATACACAATAATATTTTGGACTAAAGATTCTAATAATTAAATTATTAAAGTTACAAACAATAGTTAAAGATAGTAACTTCATAAAATACAGACGCTTTTGAAGAGAAAAAGTAATGAGCTCTATTAATTAATTAAATAGTAGAACTTCTTATGTATAAAATATTTACCCTTAATTTTCGAAATACTAATCGTGCTTTACGAAGGCACTTAATCGTAATGTCAATTCTAAATATTTTACTTATAACCGAGATAATTCCAAAAAAAGACGGGAAATAATTTGAAAAACTAGGGACATTTTAATCGACGTTTTAATTGTCGTTATAAAATTCTATTGCATTAGCATTTGTTGATTTCATCCTTCATAAATTCGTCATAAAATTAATTGCACTTAAATCCATAGTTTACTTGTCATGGTGAAATCTGTACTTGATATGCCTATTTCGTTCAGATAAAAAACAAGTTATAGATAGCGAGAATAAAAATCTAATGATATCTGATTTATATAAAACGATAGGAAGGGTGTAGTACTTATGCATAGACGAAGTAATGTTTTCCGATACACGTGCACACAATGGCACACTGTATGCGATGTATAATATATTTATGTGGGCATTAAAATATGCAGCTAGTTTATATCGTATGACAATATGTATATGTATATACAATATTTGACATGTCAAATAATTCACAAATAGTTCTGTTTTTTCTCTTTTACACATATATCTTTCTTGTCAACAAATAACAAAGGCGTGAAATATGAAACTTTTAATTTACATGAAACAAAATTCTCGAAATACACGCGGTTGACTATTATGCAGTTTTTCTTTTTTAACAAGATTCTTTAGTCAACCCATGTTAACATAGAATTGTACAAAACGATTGGTATTTTTCTCATACCGGTATATTACCTCCATCGTGGTAGCAATCATGATACTGCCTTGATAGAACACGTTTCAGTATTATT